TTATTATTCACTGCTTTTTTAAAATATATGGATATCCCACTTGTCACTTTTATATAACAGCTACACAATGCTTTCTCGTAGCACGCCATGAAAAATCCCATTTTTTACTTGTATTTTCTACTGCGGACTGTGTCACACACAAGCCTTCAGGTCAAAATACAAGTGACAAGTGGGATATTCCATGGTGTACCATAAGAAAGCATTGTGTAACTATTATATACAAGTGACAAGTGGGATATTTCATGGTGTGTCATGAGAAAGCATTGCATAACTATTATATACAAGTGACAAGTGGGATATTACATGGTGTGTCATGAGAAAGCATTGTATATCTATTTTATCCCACACCACAGAAAATACGAATGCGAAGGTTCAACGTGCAGCGCATGATGGGAAGGAAGAGTGAAATACCGATCCACGAACATACAACGGCTTTCCTGCATTCTGATTGGCTGTATTTTCTATATGGTATATGGGATAAATACGACATTTATTTTTCAGAGGGCAATAAGTTAGCCATACAGAAATTAGGAAAAATGCTAAATTTTACACTACGTTAATGTTAAATTCACCACCCTGGCCCTGGACCTGGAAATCGGGGGTCGGAGGGCCTGGTGGTCAGGGGCGGGGGACAAATTGACAAGTGATTCGTAATTTTCGTGCTCAAATTCCTCATGATTAGCTCTCAAGTCCTAATTATTCTATTTAAATAATCTATTTGCAAGAACGTTGTGAAATTACCTAAATACTAAGACACCAAAAAGGAAATTGATATGAATTCTTGTTAAAAATATTAATCTTGCGGTACAACCTTGCATTGCAGATTGCGCATGCTCAGGGGAGCTTTTAATTTAAGGCTGAGCTCATTGGAAGAAGAATATAAACCAAGCAGTAACAAAGTTTACATTGCTAATTATCCTAATTTGCTTATTAATATTTGTAATTTGCATTGCTTTTCAAGTTCATATGACAATCTTCTTGTAATTGGGTGCATATCTTT